TTTTTCAACATTAAAACAACATTTCCGATAGATTTTTGAGGTGCATCTGTGATTCTACATTTTAAGGTTGCAACCTTATATAAACTTTTCCCTTATGTTAGAGAATCAGGTAGAGACAAAAAATGTCCTTGTTACTCCATCAGTAACTCAAAACCTCAGGCAAAATGTTCATATTTAAGACAAATACTAAATAAAAATGTCTACCAGCACATATATCACATATTCCAATCATTATTTTATTCTTAAAATTTTCATAATTGTATAAATTTTTTTATTTTCATTGCCGGCATAGGAAGCGAAATGCCTGCTTCCAGGTACATTGTGCATGGGACACCCTGGCGTCTCGCACCAGCATTCTGCATTGGTCACTGGTATTGAGTAGTGAAGCACTAGAGATAAAAGCATCTCCAAGCAAAACTAGGACACTTCAAAATTGCACTCATCTCCAAAAATGAATGTCCTACCAAAATGAAACAAAGACACCGCAGAACAATAATTCAGAAGCTTCATTTCCACTTCTGACAGATTGACTACAGAGAATCAAATGCATTGTTACCCTTTCCCAAGGAGAGTTGGCACTCCTGGCAGTTGAGGTGCTTGCACAGGCACAGGCATAGCCATAGCCATAGGTATATTAGGTGCTGTTACAAAACTTCCATTGGAGAAAGGAGCTTGAATTCCTGATACCTGACCATTACTTGAACTTCCCATTTGCTCAAAACCATGATAAAGCTGTGGCCCATTGGTCTAATATCAGAGAGCATTCTGTTAGTAAATTGGCTAATAATTTCACAATGAGAGGAAAGAGAATTATTCACCATGTAAAATGTTCATAACTTCATATACCATAAATTGGCTGTTTATATCCCCAGCATTCAGTCGTTTACTGTCCCAATCATTACCAAATTCATCCGACGCCAAACGTTTTGTTCCTAGAGCTTAAGTACAAAACAATGATAAGATAAGTGAAAAGAAAATGCTAAATGTAAAGGCAATTGTAACAGAACCATGGATACAAGGAATACTGCAGTAACCCACTATTAGAAATTCTATTAGTTAGTAAGTCAAGCTATAGGTGATTTACCTCACGTCCACAGGTGAGAAAGCGATATATCATAATCAAATTTGTTTATCTCATTGCTTTTCTGAGTACAACACTCAAATATTGTATATCCATTATGCATGCACAATTACACAATAAGAAAATTTTGTGATTGATAATAAACCTCAAGCAACTAGCAGCATACCAGTGTTCAAAAAAGTGAACTGCCCAGTGCCTAGGCGGTCTAGAAGGCCTGTGCGCGTCGCTCAAGCCTAGGTGACCAAACTAGGCGGCAGTCCCTGGGCGGCCGCCTAGAGCGTACGAAACCCGCCTAGGCGGGTGCCCAGCCCTGGGCAGCCTCCCAGGGCCTGCGCCCCGCCTAAGGGCGGAGTTTTTATTTTTTAATTTAAAGGGTTTGAAGGATGGGTTTTAGGTTCATTTTAAACCTAAACCCACAATAACAGAGTTTAGAGAGAAAAAAACATCAAGAAAACTAAATTTTGTGACTTTCATTGGATTGAAGTGTTTCTCAAAGTTACGAAAAACGGATCCAAATATCACCCAAGTAAATTTGATTAGTTTTGGAGTTTTATAATCCTATTAGAGAGTGTTTTTTGTAATTTTAGCACCAGAAAACAACTCAGAGGTGGGGATTTGGAGTTCGAGCAATCAAAGTAAGTGCAAAAATTTAGTTTTTAGATTGTTTGCTTTATTTTGAGATGTTTTCTTCAGGATCTAGTTGAAGTGGAGATCTGAGTTGGAAATATGGATATAACTCGAATCCAAATGACAAAAATTGCATTATTTGTGAAAAAGATACAAAAAGGGGCATAAACCGGGTTAAAAAACATCTTGGCGGTATTAAGGAGGATGTTGCCCCTTGTAAAAATGTTCTTAAAGCTATTAGAGAGGAGATTAAGCAATTTATGAGTTCTGTAAAACAAAAACATGAACAAAATCCTTGTCATTTGAATAGGTCTATTTCTGCTACTTCTAGAAGATGTGATCCGGGGGAAATATAGTTATAACCCAAAACCAAACGATAAAAATTGTATAAGGTGTAATTTTTGTGAAAAAGATACCAATGGAGGTATTAACCAATGCAAGAAACATCTTGCCGGTATTAAAGGGAATGTTGCGTCTCGTAAAAAGGTTCCTGAAGCTATTCGAGATGAGATTAGACAACTTCTAAATTTAAAAGAACCAGAAAATGATGAAAATGAGCCTTGTTCTGTAGAAATGTCTTCTCCAGATTCTTCTAGAAGTGGTGATCCGGGTTGGAAGTATGGTTATAACCCGAATCCAAATGATAAAAATCGTATTAAATGTAATTATTGTGGAAATGATACTAATGGGGGCATTTACCGGTTTAAAAAACACTTTGCCGGTATTAAGGGGGATGTTGCCCCGTGTAAAAACATTCCTGAGATTATCAAGGAGGAAATTCTACAATATTTGAGTTTAGGGAAGCACAAAAGATAGAAAAGTGTAGAGGAGACAAGACTCCTAGGGCCTCATTTGCACATACTGTTTTAGCATTGTATGAAAATATAGATTATGGTGTTATGGATTATCAAAATTCTCTTTTCGACTTTTTTTTTTTTTTTTAACTAGGATTTTGGCCTTGTCCTCAATCACACCATGAGTTCCTCTATCAAGGGACAAAACCTGGGCCACCCGGGTTCAAGGCGCCCTCCTAGGCGCTGGGCACCTGAACTCCCATGGTCGCCTGAACCCCCATGGTGCCGCCTAACAATTTTTGAAACGCTGCAGCATACAGAACAGGTATTATATGTTGATGTACATATCCAAGCTTATATACATTAATCAAGTTAAAGATGTTATGATCTCTATCTTATAAAATTTTTAGAGATGTTATGTAGGGGTGGCAATAGACACAGACCTGACTCGGGTCCAGGTATGGGTCAAAGAATTGGACCCGGCGGGTCAGTTCCAAGTCCAAATATTGGACCCGAACACTATTGGGGTCTAAGTCCATATGGACCCGACCCAAACAGTGTTATTATATAAATAATATTTAACATACAATATTTAAATTAATATAACTATATATTTTTTGTAATAATATTTAAATAATACATGTATATATTCAATATAACAGTTAAAATATTGTTTTTTATTTTTCGGTCGGGTCCAATCGAGTCCGGGTCCGATAACTTCGTGTCCGGCCAGACTCTGACCCAACCCGACCTGTTGCCACCCTTAATGTTATGGTTGATGGAGAAACCCAGAGGAAATGTGCTTTGCAAAGCATATGTTATATTTGTTTCACTGAAAATAAAAACATCAAGCATTTCAAGCAGATCATGTCTTCAATCCCCACATAAGATCTTAAACAAATGTCAATGCGACAGATTGCCCAATCGGAGGATAGCAAATACTAGATACCATTATGACAACAATGTAAAATTGTGAAGAATAAAAATGCAATTGGAAAGCCCCAAAGTTCAGAAAATAAAGATAGGCTGGGACCAGATAAACAAGTAAGGCAAAATCAATAACCTTTTGGTTTGGATCAATAAAATGAATCAATCAGCAGCTGTTTTCAGAAATACAAATTCAACTGAAGCATACAATCCCTAAGTCGACTTAAAAAGGACAAAAATAGAATATTCTCTCCAGTATAATACAAGAGAACTAATCAGGTTTATCCTGATAACCTAAATCCATTGCAGCAGCAGAAAATAAAATGCAAAACATCTATATGGCAAATTTCGACCGCATCAGTTTGGTCAGAAGACAAATATGGAACCATCACATCATCACCTTTACATTGAAAAAAAGATGTGGGCAGAATTGCTCACTCCCTACCAGGGAACAAATCGGAAACTGCTGCATTAGCCACAGAAGAGGGTGCTGCGGATGGTACTGACGCATTACATTTTTTACACTGCAGACACCAAAGTTGCTATAATATGAGTTCATTCTAAACTAAACGAGCTCATAGTACTCTTCAAAATAAAATACAAACTAATCATATCCTACATTAAACTGCAAAAATAGAATAATCCAACTGATCCATTTATGACAGTAAATGGAAGACAGAGATCCTTGTGAACCAATCTTGACTTCACATAATTAAGCATTAAAACTTTAAAAGATTGATCATATTCCAGTCAAAAGAGTAAATTATTAGGGATTATATACAATGAGACTATTTACCTTTGGCACAGGGAGATCACAATTACTTACAACCATCCGATGTGAAATCTGATAGCTTGGGTGTGTCACAAAGTTCGAGAAAATTTCTTTTGAACTTTGAGCTTGATCAATGAAATAAATGCAGCCACCTAATTTCACATCCAATGGTCAAGATTAATTGTGACCACCTTGTACCAAAGGTAAATAGTCTCATTATACACTTTCTCAAACTATTATGGTCTCAGGACAAAATTTTCAATGATCAAATGCAAGATACTCAAAGGAATGAGCCTCACCTGAGCACGAGAAGAGTAATTGTGGAAGCCACAACTGCACATCCAATCACCATTACGCCAGCCTTTAGGAAACATTAAAAGA